ACTCATCGAATCAATTCCACGAAATATAGTAGACATTCTTTTCTGCCATCAAAACAGCATTTGATTTGTTTTGCAGGTGTCCTGAAAATCAACACAATAAGCTCTCTCCGTCGCTGAAGCAAAATTTGAACTACCGCGTATACCATACACGAGTACGTAGTTGATCCCTTTTAAACAATTTGAATTCGAAAATGCTATATTTTTAAAACATTTTTGTTTTTGTCGATTTGGATTGGGGTCAAGTTAAATGGAGCGATTTGAAGAACACCAATAAATTGAAAATGCATTGAAAGCGAAGCATAGAAAATGTGTTAGTAGAACCAAGTCTGGAAAAACAGTTCACCTATGGTGGGCACGCTTCTGCAAATCACAGTAAAGCTTACTTAAAAACGAAACAAACTGAACAATTGATGCAAACGCAGAAAATAATGTTCCCAGCTTTTGTCCTTGAGTGTGCAAAAAAAGCAAACAATTCAAGGAGTAATTCAAAAGCCTTGCTTCAACAATCTAAATTATTTGCAGTCTTTTTAAATCGGTCGCTCCATTCATACAAAAATTTCTTTTCGATTATTCCAATTCAAAAATACATATGTCCAGGAAGAACAATAATATTTTAATTTAACAAGTAAAAAAGCTAAAGTCGGGTGTCCCGACTTTGAAATACTCTGTACATATGTTTACAATAATTATAGAAAATAAAAAAATTAAGAAAATAAAAAAAAAAAATTTGATCGATTTTACCTCTCTCGGTATTCGAACTCACGTAAAGGGTGTATAATTGCACATTTACATAGCAATTGCGTCTGTGTGAGTGTATGTATGCCTATGCGCATCAATTCGTGTCTGTGTAAGCATTTTCGCAGTCAACCAAACAGCAACATCAACAACAGCCGCGGGCAGCGCTTGAGCAGCGCTGCAGCAGCGCTGCATCAGCAAATATATTTATGGCTATAACTTCTTGTTAAATCGGTCTATCATAATGACATACGGACACATAATAACCAACTGGGGGTATTTCCAAAATTTTAGTTCGAAATTCCAAGAATTACGGGAGTTACGATTTGCGGGGTAGAGGGGGGAGGGAGGGGAATTCCAAAATATACATTTTCTGCGTATTCACATAAGGCATCTGGGACTAAAATTTGGTGTTCCTAGGTCTTATAGTCTCCGAGATATAGGCGACTATACGAATGGAAAATCGGGAAAACCCCCATAGGGGGGAAATGGGGGGGAAAATCAAAAAATAAAACAAACTCGTATAGAATACACACATAACGCATCTTTGTGCAAAATTTGGTGTCTCTATCTCTTATAGTCTCTGAGATCCAGGTGTTCATACGGACGGACAGACGGACAGACAGACAGACGGACAGACAGACAGACAGGGCTAGATCGACTCGTCTCGTCATGCTGATCAAAAATATATATACTTTGTGGGGTCTGCCACGCCTCCTTCTGCCTGTTACATTTTTCAGCTCCCGCAAACCTAATATACTCTTGTACATTTCATGTACAGAGTATAAAAATTGTAAGAACATTCGAAGCTTATAAAGATAATTAAGTTAACAATCAGACAGAGAGACGGTACTTATACTTGTAGGCATGTAATAATTTCTAGACCTCCTTTGAAAATTCTCAATATTGGAATACTGTTTTTAATGTCATTTTCATTTTTCTCACTGTGTGTCCATCACATTATTGTTGTTGCAACAACTACTTCTACAATCGCACTGTCATATCCGCCCACAAATATGGCGCGTCGGAAGTCGCGAACGCAGAAATGGCACTTGGCAAATTTATTCTCCAAATCGAGTGCGCCAGGCAGCCACATTTCATTTTCCATGGCTCGGAATCGTGCGCGGCGGGCGAACAAACGTCTCCAAATATTAAATAAATTGCATGTCGCTTCAATTTTGCATACCACCGTACGAGGTATGTACATAGGAAGAAGTATGAGTTTGCGTGAATTTTCGAGCAGCTTCCCTCATGAATATGTACTACGTGTACTATATGTGCGTAACAATGTGGCAATTGAACGAACGAACAGAACCCTCTGGTCGCACTAACTATACGAGTAGACACGCATATGCATGTATTTGTATATACGAAAAAAGACAGCAAGCGGGACAGTGAAGTCGTCAGTTTCTTGTTGCGCCTTTGCGCTTACGAATTGTCGTGCCATTTGTCTGTTTTATTTGCTTGCCGACTTTGGCTTTAAGGCGGCAAAAAGCGTAGCTTTGGGCACAGTTACAAAAATATGATAAGCAACACTAGACTGTTCCCTCCGCCGCATGTCACTGTCCATAATCGTGCAACTTTTGCACATTGCACTTCTTTTTTGTCACGTATGTATGGCTTTCGGAACAACTTTTTATGGTCTTATGGTCGTTCGGTGCCTTATAGCCGTCAATTTATTTCTACTGCCCACAATTTTTACTTCTATATGCATAAAACCTATACCCATCCACTCTTTGAACAAGTGACAGAGTGCTGTTCGATTTGAAATGTACTAGAAGTTAAAATTTGACAATTGTTCTCTCTCGTCATAACTGGCTTTCAACTTACTGAACTGTGCATTCTTAAATCTGTAGTTCTGCTACATTGTAAGGTGCTGTGAAACTTCGCCAGTATATTTTTCAATCATCTGCAATCAAAGAGATTCTTTAATGCCTTCTTTGCCCCGACAGGTCAAACAAGTAATAAACAAGTAATAAGTTTTGCCAACTGACTGGTTGACAGTTTATGTGGGGAAAAAGCATAAAACGAATTAAAGCTGTGTGCAACGAATTAAAGTACATACGTTTAATGAAAGGCAGAGCCTGTGGAAGAAAGCAGGGCGAAGGAAGATGTATGAAACATTCACATTCGTGCTGCACTAATTCACTTTGCAGTAGTATCTCTTACTTCTTATGCTCAGCAAATAGTTTCCTTCGCAATTCGGCAGCCATGCCGTGGATCGCTTGGGATTACCGTTTAGCAATGGAGCAAACAGAGCCAAACCAAGGCAAAAGCAGAGACAGAGGCAGAAGCAGAGCCTGAGATAGAGGCAGCCAGTCATGGGTTGCTGCGAGCTGCAGGAAATATAAAAACTAACAGACTTATTGCATTACTTACATTAAATAACCACTTACAAAATGGCGCATGAATGGCGCACATGAAAAACGTGGCATGACACGAAAGCTGAGGAAGAGCAAAAACATGGAAAGACCATAGCAATGACGGCAATGGTGACTGTGACGGCGATGATGACGCTGATGGTGGTAATGATAATGGATATGATGATGCTGGTAACTTATTATTAAATCCGCTTGCGGAAGAGTGAAAATAGAGTTACAACCGCCAAGAGATGAGCTGGGCAGATGAATGGCGGACGTACTGTGGAATGTTGACAGACTTCCTGGTGGGACAAACGGACTGGGTAAGAAAGAGACAATTCGTACCACATGCCTTTGAGAACTCTGGACGTGAAAAGACATTTGGGATATGCGCAAAATGTGCAGCAACACCAACTAACTGCGAACAAAAAAGATTTCTGTTGTTGATACCATCTGACTTATTTCCTTGTTTTTCTTTCTGCCTTTCTATTAACCTGAGCTGCATAGCTCAAACTTCAAAGCTTTCCTTTACATATTCACCGAATTTTGCACATTTTTTTTTTTTTTTTTTTTGCTTTATGCATTGTACAGACCTCTTTTTTTAAACATTGTGAGAAGCCAAACCCTTTTCTATTACCACTTTTCGCAGTGTTCCTGCAACTTGTTGGTGCATGCAATATGCTTAAATTCATGAAAAGTTTGTTTCAATAAATCGGAAGCAGAGTAATAATACTTCTCTTCCGTACCTTCTTTAGTAACTTTGTTATGTGTCTGCTCGACTGTATTCATTGTTTATCTTAATATAATTCGGGTCTAAAACATACTACAAGCTAGTTTGTTTTAATATCTGCTCCATTTAATTAGCAAAGGCACAAATAGAGCAGGCGCTTTAAATCTAATGCTGCCAGTAAACCCAATTAAAAGAGCACATAATGAAACAAAGAGGCATCTAAAAATAACTCCCTTTACGTTTTGCTCGAGACAAGTTTAATCTCTCTATAAATGGAGCAGCAGCTGTGCGTTTTGTACGCCATGCTTCCACCACTTCCGCAACTCTTGTTTCCTTTCTGCGCCACTCATGCTTTGGCCGTGACACTTAATATGCACGCGCCTGTGGGTATGCAATGAAAATTGTGCGCATCTGACGCGAGTTTGCAGCTTTCATATTTTGATTGGATTGCGAAAGCAGCATCGCTTTTGGTGTTGCTATAATTTAATATTTGAAAGAAGCGGAGAAACGCAGGCTTTTCACTTAAATGCAATCCAATAAATATTGCTTAAATGAACGCAGACTGAATAAATAAGAGCATAATACAAATGTATAAGCTCACCCGAAATGGCAGTTCAGGTTGCAGTGCAAATGCATAAATCAACTTAAATCAGCAAAAGGTAATCAGCGAAGATATTGTTAAATCAATGATATATGATATATATAGATTTTAATAGCAATTTTTAACAGCAATTTTGTTTTAGGGCAGTCAAAGGTAAGGTAAGAGGACAACTCTGAAGGAATTAAAGTCATCAAAAGATAAATATTATAATGTACTCGAAACATGTCAAAGTGGATAAACATAATTGTCTTAGCAACTTTAAATGTAATTAAAAATATTTTAACAATATATAAGAATAATATTATAATACGAAAAGTTAATAATAATGTATTTACAAATATATTTGATTTTAAAGAGATTTTTATTAACATCAATAGAGCCTCATATTAACAATAAATTTGTATATATTGGTTCCTTGTATTTCATGTTATTCTTTTTTCCACCAAAATTTCGCACATGAAATACAATATGCTTCATATTTCATGTATGAATTTTAATCAATTAAACAAATTACGTGCTACGTACAGAATTTTCCACATGATTAATATTTATTTCCCTCTTCTTTTCATTTCAGTCTCATCAAACAGCAACAGTTGCTAAAAGGTAACTGAAAAAACTACAACAATTGCAAGTTTTCCATTTTTGTTGATTGTTTTTGTCGATGGTAGGGCAGAGAATTGTTTTATTTGATGAACACACAAAATGAAATCTCAAACAAACGTGAATACTGTGTGCGTTTCATTTCTTGCTCAACTTCATATACTGGGCGATTGTATGCTGTAGTTGGCTGATTCAGACGCGCTGGCGCCAATTTTTACACAACAATATGAGGCACTTGAAAATATACACATGTACGTGTATATATAAGTAGACATACACCCATACTTATATGCGCATATTCATGGCAAGCAATTCCGTTTTTTTAAGCTCATAGTCGACGCTAGAGCACGTATGTACAAGTACGTTCTTTTATTTGAAAATAGTTTCCAAATGGTGTTTGCAGTAAAGCCTTGTACCAAACACTTAAAGCACTGCAAGAATACCCTATTATGTAAAATTATGCGGCAATAACAACAACAATGTCGATTTTGAATAATTAGTCTACGACATAACGCTTCATGCAAAACGCTTTTAGGTAGAAGTAAGTAAAATTAAAAAAAGTACTGCAATATTTTAGGAACTTTAAGTTGTTGAATAAAAATGTGAAAAGCATGGTTGCTTTATAAATCAATCAAAAAAATTTGTGCCTTCATAAATTTTTCTGCTTGTCCCGAAAATACACTTTCTTTCACTGCAACATTTTTGATTATCCTGTAGGAGGTTACAAGACTTTAGGCCTCAATTGTCTGCATCTGGCTGGTGCGGCTCTTCATATACATACTTGTACATAAATTATAACCTCATTTCGTGACGCACATAAACTCGAGCTTCTCAGCCCACTTCACATAACATTTGCTCCGATCCCCTTATAGATGAGTCAACAAGCCACACGTCAGTGCTGCCGCTCTTATTCAATATTCCATATTTTGTGTGTATGTATATATTTCCACATATCTACTTATGCGTATATATACACACATAGGCAGGGGCATATATTGCGTATACATAACTTTGTGCCGTTTGTGCTTTAGTTTTTCGCCAGCTTATACTGCAAGCAAATCAGCTCGGAAGCTTGCAAGTTTTTAGTTCCTTCGGTTTCTATAGTTAATGCGACTGAGTAGATTAGAAACGCCATGGTTCAATTAATAATCTTAAAAAGTAATGAAAATATGACACACTATGAAACGAAATAATACACATAATTGATGAAAAAAAAAGCTTCTCAGGTATTTTTGCAAAACAGTTAAATCAGTTGATTTTGCTCCCATTCCTAGTCTTCTTATTGACCAATTTAATTGCTTCCTTGAATTTTTGGAGTCTAACATTTTAATAGCCAAGTTCTAAATGGTCTTAATGATATGGATTATACATTTAATATGCCCTTTTGAAATGTCTTAGTGTACAGAAGCAGAACGCACACAAATCACCAACCCTCGTAGTAAGCATTAAATGCAATACTTTTGAGATGCTTCAGTAAGAGTGAAAAACAGAAACAAATGCTTTTGGGAAATTTCTTAAGCTGTCAAAGTTGTTGTGGATGTTTGTGCCATTTGTGCTGTTTGCTGTGGTTCCTTAGGTTTCTACTTGGGCGAACTCTAGATTTTTCTTGCAGCATTTCTGTGTTTTGAGAAAGAAACAAAAAATAACCGCAGGAATGCTTTAAAAATATGAATATTTTTACTTATGTCCGTTTGAAAGTGTGTATATTTATGGACTTATATCCGTATGTATCTGTACATTGTATACTTACGATTGCAAATAGTGAAAAAAATTTCCAGCAAATCAAAGGAACCACGGGATTTTATTTGGGTGGACCAGTGACCGAACTGATTCTGACCAGTTGGCTTTTCTTTTACATTTTTCTTTCACACACACACACACACACAAGTGCAAATATTTACGCGTGTTTGTGGCAAAGTTGCAATTTATTTGCTAGCCATCAAGCAAATAGAAAAAGGTTACAGCTCTAAATTGCTACAATTTTACGCTTCACTTCTCTTTTGGTTTTTTCTTTTACCCACAAATTCTTTGATTCCTGGCCTTGTTGTTTTTTGGCCTCCATTTGCAACTTTCTCCTATGCTTGAAATAAGTTTCCGAACTGTTGACCAAGTTCTTCATTCCGTACTTGCAAAATCGGCTTTTAGTGTTTGGCATAATTTCTGTGAAGCCAACAAGGAAAAAAATAACAAGAACAAAAATATCGCTTCATTTTTATGTCACGTGCGTTCAAGTGTAGGTGGTGGGCCGTAAAAGCAATATGAGCTCAGGTTGAGGCAGTCACTCTTTACGATGGCTCTGGAGTGCTGTGATCGCGTTTCCTTTATTATATAAAATGTGTTGTGCTTTCGAAAGCTTCTCACACACCCATGCAAATGGAAAGCAGTACCAAATATTATGATTCGTATTTGCAATAATTTTCCCAATGGAAAAATATGGTGATTGTTTGTGGGCATAAATCCAAATAAAAATGCAAACACTTATGTTCACTAATTTCATTAGAAGTATTCACAATGCATATTCAAAATATTTAAGCTGAACTATTTTCGATGTGACCAGTAAGTCATTGGTTTTTTATATGTTTTTCCATTACCCCAACTGATGTTCCCATTTGTATAACACATATATTTTAATCGAATTATAATTACTTTATAAATGCAAGGCCTCTGAAACTAATACGACTTTTTTCTTACTTTCACATTCAATTCACAAAAGAGAAAAGCAAACACTTTTAGGCTACTAGTAGAAAACGATAAGTTCGTAAAAATTCTGTAAATTGAAATTTGACAAATACGTTTAACTTATATTTATTTTATATTCAGAAATTAATTATTCAACATTCTAAAATTAGCTACAATATTATTAAAACACCTTGCACACTCTCCTACGTTCAAGCTACTGCTTACGTTTTCACGAGTTTTTTAAGCTTTGTACACGGTTTATTTCACGTCATAAAGTGGCAGACCACAAACTAAACGGCGGCTGTCATAAAAGCAAACTTGCCGCAGAGAAAGGTACAACCGAGACAGCAGAGTGTTGCGAGCTGCAAAGTTATTGCCAAATAAAATGGTGGCGCACACCTGCACCTGGCTTGCATCCTTGCCCATATCCTTTGCCATGCACTCACAGCGACCACATGTGGCTCGCTTGTTGCCATTGTTGTGGTTTCTGTTGAAGCTTTCTGACATCTTAAGTGCAGTTTTTACGCAGCCTTAGGGCCGCAATACCGGCCCTTTGTTTGGGGATTTCATCCGGACGTTATGGGTATATGTGCCACGCTTCGACTTGAGCTAGGCGGATTACGGGTGCGCGTTTATGCGACACTAGCAACAATTTGCCACAGACAAAGCTGAAAATGCAGCAAACTCGTACTTCTATATATCACAGGTTATGAGAGAAGTGGGCGGTTTCTGTGGAATTGGCTGCCTGGGTATGGTTCCTATTTGCTTACAAGTATATTGAATTGTACAGTTGAAAAGAGTCATCCTGAAATCTAGATTTTTACTAATCGATTTATAATCCCATTTTGGTTTATTTAATTTATTTTGGCAATAGATGTTCACTTTTGCTCGAACTCGAATATGTTTTTAGCTGAACAATACTTAAATTATTTCAGATTCACGATGTAAAAATATAAAATCTAAAAGTATTCAGTTCAACATTGAACTTTGAATTTACACATATGCATATTTGTTAAAACATTATTTTTAACCCACCTTTACTGATATTATTATGTATGCAAGCATAATCAAACTAGGAATGACAAAAATATCGTTGTTATTGAACAAAAGCCGAAGCACTACAAAAATATGACATATGTGGTGTTATAATTAGTGAGTGAGTGGAGTCAAGAGAAGTATCTCAATTCGTTACGCATACGCCCAGTTGCGTGATTGGCATTGAAATTTGTATGGGAGTATTTCGTGCTCAATAGTTTATATTTTTGAATACGAGTATTCTTCCATTCGTATGCAATATTATGAAGTGTTCTCTAGGGTGTAATAAATGTCGGCGTGGCTGGCATATATCATCGCTGCACGTGCCATCATCGCCCATCGAGATAGTAGTGAAAGCCAGCACATCTCTGATTGTGAATGAAGATGTTTGTATCCTCTTTTTGTTCAAATTATATTTTGTTCTTCTCTTTGACTGGGTGCTGTTTTATTAAACAAAGACAAGGACACATGACAAATAAGTAGACGTATATGTGCGAGCACTCGTACTCGTGTATTTCCCCACACATAGAACTGTTCTATGTGTGTGCACTAAGAAGTTTTTTTCGATATAAAATATGGCTAAGTAGCTTAAGGGCTTTTGCCTTTAAATTTATATCCCCAACTCAAAACGATGCATATTTATAGTTTATTTAAACATAAGCCTACAGGCTCATATATGTATGTACACAGACATATAAATGCGACTTTATCGATAAAAACAAAAAATTTAAGCAAGTATGTGGCCGTGTACGAGGTTTTGTTTGAGTTTCTGCTTCTGACCAGCTTTTCTAAAGTTTGTGAATGTGGAGCCCATAATGGCGCAGCAAAACAAAAAATGCGCTTTATTTACTGCTTTAGGGCAATAATTCGACATTAAACGTTCAACAGTTCCTATATTGGTAAATGTAAATTATTCTTTTTATTTATTTCATATTTAAATCTTTTTGACAAAAACATTGGTAAAAATAAATTTAAATCTTGTTAATGGAATGGGGGTTACAATATTGGTTAATAATTGCATCCCCTGTACTCCGATATACTGTCTAATTCATAATCAGACTCTCTTTAGAAAACAAATGACTATTTTAATTGTTGATTTACTCTCATACCAGCAAATACACTAGCATGGATTCCATTGGAATTAATTGCTTGGGACTTACAAATTAATTCAAGTCGATTATATTGCATCTGAAACACTTTTCGTCGGCAGCACTTTAAATTAAACCCTTCAAATTAATCAAGAGTTGACCACTTCGTATAAGGATACTTTCATGAACCGTAAATTTGAA